AAAAGCAAGGGAAGTTCTAGGACGAGTTTGGAGCAAAAAGAGTCAAGGTGGAGCTAAGGAGGTAGCTAAAATGCTTCAAAGAGAGCCAAAGAGTGGCGCTTTCAATTGATTTGATCACAAGAACCAAACAATGGAAAAGTGGAGCAAAAGAGCAAAGAGTTGTAATTCGCGCACAGATTGGTGACAGTTTGGTTTTTGGTTCATATCTCATCCTAGAAATATCCAAATGAAGTGATTCTTGCACCATTGGAAAGAAGACTCGAAGGGCTACAACTCTTATACAGACATCAAAGTCTATATCAGAAGGGAAAAGGGTCAAAAAAAGCCTTCAAACTGGATCTACGGCCCATACGCGATTTCGGCCCAATTTTGCACGGAAAATTCCTATTTCTACTGGGATTGGTTCTAGCTTTGTACCTACTATAAAATCCCCCCTTCCCCAACCCTAATATTCATTCAGATATTTTTAGAGACAAGAAGGAGAGAAATCAAGAGCCACAAGTTGTCTTGGGAAGCAAGAAGAAAGCTAGAGAGATTTGGAAAAATTGTCTGGTTCAATCTTGCACTCTTTTTGATAACTTGTATTTTCTTTATTATCTTTAGCTATGTATAATTTAGCCATGTGTGGCTAAATTCCATTAGGGATCATTGGGTAAAAAGTGTTTATGAACCTATATGTCTGTGCTCTCAGATTCTTCAATTTATTATTATTTGGGTTTTAAACTTGTGTTGCAATTGTGTTTATTATTGTCGTTGCGAGTAGTTCAGGGTCCGGATTACTTGTTTCATTGCTTTGTTTATGTCATAATGGGAGTTAGGCATAATTGAGAGTTCACACAATTGCACTTAACTTTTGCACATTGGAAAATGACATATTTGTTAGGGAGTTTAATTCTTGTTTATTGTACTGGGAGATGGTAGTGGTTAGAGATTATTTATGAATGCTTGTTCTTGTTCTTATTGGGTGTTTATGCCACGAGAATGGATATTCACTAGTGTTAGTGACTATGGGAGTAGCTCTATACCACATTGCATCCTCACACTCGTTTAAAGCCAAATTTAATACTACATTAGGTTAGGCACTAGGGGATTAAACACTTGAATCCCAGTAATCTCAATCTCTCTATATTGTTTTCAAAACCCTGAATCATTGCTTTATTTTATTTATTTAATGCAACCATCCAAGTCAATCATTAGGATTAGCTTCATAGAATAAATTAGTAGCTTGTGCTTAACACAACCACTTCCCTGTGAATCGATAACTTGATACTCTAGATATTTATTTGGTTCAAAATACACTACAATCAGCAGCTAGCACAGAATCTTCAACATTTGACTCAGATCACTCAAACACTGAGCAATGCCTTACTCAACGACAATCATCGTGGAAATTGGGACGTGGCTCGACAAGTGTTAGGACATCGTCCGCCAGCCTTTGCAGGGGAAGATGACCCAACCTTGCTAGAGGATTGGATCCGGACGTTTGACAAGATCTTCGAGGTTGTGAATTGCCCCGAGGAGCGCTGAGTGGAGATAGCTACATTCTACCTACAGCAAGAGGCGGACCTTTGGTGGATCCATGAGGGACCTGCTATTCGGCAAGACCCCGAGTTCAGTTGGGAGGGCTTTAAGGATAAGTTACGTGAGCGTTTCTATCCCGCTCATGTAAAGGCAGCCTTATATGAAGAGTTTCTACACATAAAGCAAGGATCATCGTCAGTACAGGACTAGCTATCACAAGAGGTTCTTGGAGTTGTCTCGCTTTGCTTCTGTTTTGGTACCCACCACGAGGCTAGTAAGATCGAGAAGTTTGTATCCGAGTTAAATTTTGAGGCTGTGAAAACTTTGACTATACTCAAGTTTCAGACTCTTAGGAGGTTTATATCTGTGTTGCCAATCTTTATCGCGTACAGCTAATCTAAAAGGGAGTTCAAGAGCAACATAAGAGGAAGAGCGAAGGAGGTGGTGCACCTGTTTATAGGAGGCCAAGGGTGGTTAGTGTTGAACCGACAAGGAATGTTCCAATGAGTAATTTCAATGGAGGAAGAACTTATCAACCAATCCAAGGGCCTATGGGAAGAGGTGGTGAATCTAGGGAAAAACATTTCAACTGTAGGAGGTGTGGAAAGGATCACCCAGGTGTGGACTGTCTGGGAAAGTTGGTTGAGTGCTACAAGTGTGGAAGGAAGGGTCATAGATCTTTCGAGTGTGGAATCAAGAGTGGGACTTCTTCAAGCCCAAGCCCGAATGGTGGTATATAGACCCCGCCGGGAGGACAGTTTTGAGGTGGGAGCCATGGTGGAAGAAATGGAGGACCGAATGTGAAGTCTAGACCATCGCAAGGCAAAATCTACATCATGAGTTATACCCAAGCCGAAGCCGAAACCAAAGTCAATGAAGGGGATGCATGTATTCTTCTAATTATAAATCTCTTCCTTTAGTTGCATCATCTAATGCGAAGGACCCTTTTTTAAAAAAAATTTGTGGTGGATTTAGATGTGGAACCAAGTACCAACATAGGAAGAGTAAAGTTAATTTCAGGATAAAGTTATTCTATGAGTAGGATCCAAAAGTTGGGAGAGCAATTTAAAATGGAGTAAATACCCAAAATGGTCCCTCGACTATAGCTAAATTCACAAATTGGTCATCGACTTTCAATTTCAACCAATTAAGTCCTTAACTTTGCAATTTTGACACGATTTGGTCCTCCATCTATTTGACCGTTTGTTGACCGCGAACTTTGAGGATATATATGTAATTTCACGTGCAAAGCTCAAGAGAACGCTCTTGGAGGTGACATCGTTGTTTCGGAGGGGGAAGTGCTTCTCCGCTTGCTGCTTGGGGATCACGAGCCGGTTCAACTTAGAGAACACTCTTGGAGGTGACAACGCTGTTTCGGAGGGGGGAAGTGCTTCTCCGCTTGCTGCTTGGGGATCCCGAGCCGGTTCAGCTTGCCTACATCGCTTGGAGTCACGGCTTTCTCGAAGAGCCACTCCAGGGACTTCGGCGATCTATCTATCAAAAGCTATAATCTCTCCGGCATGGAGTGCAGTGCCGTCAGTGGATTCAAATGTAACAGTGCGGTCTAGAAATGCAACCGGAACCTTAAAAAACTGACGATGGACCATGAAATTACATATATATCCTAAAAAAGTGCAGTCAACAAACGGTCAAATAGACAAAGGACCAAATTGTGTTAAAATTGCAAAGTTAAGGACTTAATTGGTTAAATTAAAAGTCAAGAATTAATTTGTGAATTTAGCTATAGTCGAGGGACCATTTTGGGTATTTACTCTTTAAAATGCTAAAGGGGATGTATTCAATCATGACTTTCATAGAGTTTTAAAGACTTTTATGAACTTTAGAAGTTTGGAGGTATTCAATTCAAACTTTTAGAGAGTCTTTAAAAGTCAGGCGGTATTCAATCAAGATTTTTAAAGAATCTTTAAAAATCATGTGGTATTCGATTAAGACTTTTAAAGAGTCTTTAAAAGTCATGTGGTATTCAAAAAGTGATGAACTTTTGTAGACTTTTTAATTTTAAGACTTTTGTAGACTTTTCATTCTCAAATATGAATAGTTGAAATCCAACCAGCAACCCCAAGATTTCAAATTTTCTTTCTAACAACTTTGAATGTTTTCTCTCTCTATTTAAACTCTTTTTTTTTCTCCGTATTTAAACTCTATAAACCTATCTAAATTCAATAAAATTATTTTTTTCTTCATTATTCTATATTTTCCTCGTACATAAACTCTACCAATTTTCTCTCTCTTCTAAACTTTAGAACCTTCATCTAAAAATTTGAAATAATATTATTTTTACTTCATTATTGCTTGTTTATATTGATTTTTTATTTTTTTCTATGAATTTTTTATCCCTAACTTTCTCTAATTCTCCCTAAATACATGAACAAAGCAAATTTTTCATCGTCAAATTTTAGTATATGTTTCATAATATTCATATAAATACTTATATATTTTAATTTTTATTATTTTTATGTTTATATTCGTAATATATATTTTTCATTTTTTAACAAGTTACTACGAATAGCGAATTATTGTTCGCAACAACAATTTGAGGTTGCAAACAGTGACACCTTGTTGTTGTTTGCAGTCTCAAATTGCTATTGCAAATAATAATTTTTTACGTGATGCCTAGCAATATATCAAATATAATTTTATATATATTATTAATATTAGATTTTTATTTTTCTATTTTATGCAACCTATAATTATATTTTTAAATATTTTATTTGATCAAGTCTTTTATTATAAATTTTATTCTTCAATATTGTTATGAATTTATAATGATTTTTTTTTTGTTGATGTTTGTTAATAATATATATATATAAGTAATTAGCATACTAGGGATAAAAATAATAATGTTGAGAATATAATGTTGATGTGGGTGAAGAACTATATAATTAGAAGAATTTTATGATATATTATAAATGTTTTGTAAGAAAATTGTAAATGATAAGAATCAAAATAATTGAAAGTTTGTAAGGATGTATTCAATTTCGAATTTCAATGACTTTTGTAGACTTTTTAAAATAAAAAGTTGATAAAAGTCTGTGGATGTTTTTTATATAGACTTTTATAGAATCTTATAAAGTTTTAAAAAGTTTTGAACGACTCTATGAAAGTCAATAAAAGTTTATTAAAATCTATCATTTTAAAAGTTTTTAAAACTCTACAAAAATCATGATTGAATACACCCCTCTAAGGAATGGAGGTTTTAAAAGAGGAACAAAAAAAACAAAAAAAAACAAAAAAACAAAAAAAAAAACAAAGAGGAATAAGGGAATGGCACCGAAGGATTTCAAACACAAAACCTCACGGCTAGCAGCCACAATCCAAACCATCAACCTATGTTGTGTTTCATACTTTCATGGATTTGGGAGCAAAGATTAATTTTTATGGTGAAAAATAGGCCTAGCGGCTATGTTAAGCAGTAGCTTGCCTTCTGTTTAAGCCTGCCGTCCCTTCATCAAGTACACCAAATTCCTTTCCCTCTCTCTCGGTTTTCCTTAAAACCCAAACCCTAAATCAGACTCCCATTCTTCCCTCTTTTCTCTCGCAGTAGCAAACCACCCGCGCTTCCCCTCCGCTCGCCAACGGCTGTGCGACGCCGGTCTTCCCCTTCGCAACCCAGGGAACCAAGACCCCCGTTACCCACACCCTTTCCCCGCTAAAACCCCCTGCCAAAACACCCAAAACCCCCGTCTCTCTCTATCTCTCCTTCACCCTTCGACCGCAACAGTCTCACGCTAGCAGCAAGGTCGCGCCGTCAGCCGCTATGCCGAGGAAGAAGAACACCACTGGGCAGGTTGATTGGGACAATGCGAAGTACTCCGTAGTTGAAGGTAAATCCCTGGACCCTGCGCATTTTTCATCCGAAGTTTTGAGCATGTTAAAATACCAAGGATTGTTAAACCTATTTCTGCTCATTAAGAATGATACATACCCCGAGCTTGTGAAGGAGTTTTACCGAAACATGAAAATTAGGCGAGAAAATGAGGTCACCATAATCAACTCTAAGGTGAAGAATGTTAAGATTGTATTGGACCCTCCCTGCCTTGCTCGAATGCTTAGGCTGACTTTGATAGGAGTTTCCAAGTACGGAAGAGAAAGTTGGATTGAGACCGAATCTGTGGGGTATCAAGATTATTTGCAATACATGCTGGGTCAACGGGAGGGTATAGCTAGAGATGTGAGACCCGTGAAGAGTGAATTGACTGCAGAGCAAAGAATTCTGGTAATGCTTGTTAGTGAGAGCTTGTTGCCTAATAGGAATAAAAGCAATATTATCGGGAGTATGGAGTGCACTTTTGCCTACTTCTTGAAGCATCGGGTCAAATTCAACTTACCCGTTCTCATGGTTAACCATATGGAGTTTTGTAAGAATTCCAATCGGAAAAGCTTGCCGTATGGGATGATCTTGAGTTGGATATTTGAGCAGAAGGGTGTGAATGTGACCAACGTGTTAGCCAAGCCACCTGGAAGATTGACATTTAATGCACCAAATCTGAGGTACTGTGAGATATATCAGATAGAGAACAAGGAGTACATCACCACCGATGAATTGAGTCGTATGCCGGCTGATGAGAGGAGGGCCTTGATGGAATTGTACCACATACCGAATAAGAAGTCTAAGTCTCAAGTGCAAGGAGAAGAGGAAGAAGAACAAGGATCGAAGGATGAAGTCAAAGAAGAGGATGAAGACCGCCCGAGTAATGAAGATGGGAGTTCGAGAGAGCATCGGCAGAAGGGTGGGCACGACCCAAGATCGACAGTTGACCTCGTGCTGTTCCAGATTTTCAAGCTACGACAGGTCACGGAGCAGGGATTCAGATCGGTGAACGCCAAGATAGATGAAGTGTGCCAGATGAAGGAGGCCAAGTATGGGAATGATGGGCCAGCAGGTTTGCCCGGTTCCAGCTCTGGGGCGAGGATCGACGTTCCAGGCAGTTCATCGCAGGGTGGTGCCCCAGGTAGCCTAGTTTAAAAGTTTTGTTTAGTTTGTTAGCTTATGTTGTAGTTAGAATACCTAGTTTTGGGGTAGTTGGTGCTTGATGTTAGTTAGAATAAAAGTTTAGGCTTACGTCTAGAATTCCTTTCCAATAAACCTTCTCTCATGCATCTTTCCCATCATACTTTTCACTTCAATTTGGATCTTCAATCTATATTCAAACCTTACTTTCACTCGAACCTTAGCTTCGAGGATGAAGCTCTTTTAAGGGGGTAGAGTGTGACACCCTGAAAATTATTTCAATTCCCGAATTAATTCCTACGATTATTTTCTAAAAGAATGAATTATTTTATTATTTAAAGCCCAACCCTTTTTCTTAAATAATCCTAGCATAAGGAAAAATATTCCAAGCCCAATCTTCCTTAGCCTTATAAATATATATATATATATATATATATATATATACATATATATGTTTGGACCTTTTCTAAGACATTGAATATTAATATTGTGGGCCTAGTCTTATATTATATAGTATATTTTCTTTATTCTTCCAAAAGCCCACTTTAATTCCCTTGCTTGGGATGTAATTAAACCCTTGCTTCTAAACTTATGTTTTGGATGTAGACCTTGCCTTAGCACATAGGTTTGGTTTGACCTAGGTGTGGCATAACATCCCAGTTGGATTTGAATTCGCTTCCGTAGTTTTATTTTCAGTATAGACTTTATTCAGCTATCTTTACCAGTTTTAATGCTTTATTTATGCCTTAGAACTGGGTGTGTTACAATTATCTTCTCTCACATCATGACCTTCACCAAAAAGAAGGAAGCTAAAATTCATTTACCCTTTCCGTGTCTTATTTTTGGTGTGCTAAAAGGTCAAGGTCGTGAGCTATACGACAATGAACCTGTCATTGAGAACAACGGTGTTCATCTCTTTGATCCAAAGCTGTCTCAAGGGAAGCACCATGATGACCGAGCTACTCTCACTGCTGCATCGGCTCCTGCTGCTCAAGTTCGTGCTGCCACTGCTCCACCATCACCTACTGGTTCTGGTTCGTCTCAACTTCCGGCTTCTTCTTCAAGGATTCCGGCTGAACCTCCTGCTCTTGTTTCTCACCGCCAGCTTGCAGAGTCTATCCAGTCCTCCTTAACTATGATTCGGAATTCAATTGCGTCTCAACAGGATGCTGCTGCTGGGTTAGAAAAGAATTTGCTCTTTCATCTTCGCGAGATTGCTAGGTTGGAGAAATTGCATGCTGAAATTCTGGCTGCTCGTGAGGACCCTGCCTCTGACTCTGATGCTGTTGAGTCTGATCCTGATGAAGATGATTCTGGCCCTGAAGAAGATTCTGACCCTGAAGAGGATCCTCCTGATTCTGGCTCTCCGTCAGTCCACTAGATGTTCACTTTTGTCAATTTTTGGCAAAAAGGGGGAGAATTTTTTTTGAGGGGGAGCTCTTCAGATCTGAGACCATAGCCATTTCCTCCTCCAAGCCATTTCCTTTCTTCAGCCAAATTTATAGATCTGCTAGCAGCCTCTCTTCAGATCTGAGACCTTAGCCACTTACGCCCGCCACCAACAGATCTGAAACCACAGCCGACGCCGACGGCCTTCCTCCGCCGTAGCTGCCATCCGACGCCACCGCCAACGCTGCCTCACTCTTGACCGCCACGTACCGACGCCAAACGCCACAGCCATCACCCCGGAGCTGCCTCACTCGCCGGAGCTGCCGTCCTTCACCAGTTGCCACCGTAAGTTTATTTATTTATTTATTTTATATTTAATTTATTTCAATTTTTTGTTGATTTATTTCAAATATTATTGTTATTGTGATATTTTAAGAAATATGTTTTGTATTGCATCAGTGCATCAAACTCCAAATTTGGGATACTGCTGGTCAAGAACGGTTCCGAACGATCACTACTGGTAGGTTGTTGGATTTTTCTGTCAAAATTGAAAAACAGGGAAAACGTGAAACATGCACTTGCTCAATTTAAGAACTTATGAAATTATTATCTTAATTTTTCCATTGGATAGGACAAGAACTATTTCCTGTTTATGTTTGAATTTCATCTCATCTAGGCACTTTCTTATCTACTAGGAATAGCTCCATGCAACTGGGTAGTCCACAGTGTTCCTCTGACTTGGCCAATGTAGGATAGTTCCCAGCTTGGCAGGCACTTTCTGTAATTATTGAAATTGATTAGAATTAAAAGGGGAGGATGAAAATCAAGTGTTGACACTTCAACTTGAATTATCACTGTGATTGTGCAATTGAAGTTTCAATCTTTAATCATTATTTTGCCCCATGTGTATTTTGTTGGTTTATGATGTTACAGATGAATCATCTTTTAATAGTAAGGTTTCCTTTCCCTATTGCATTATGTGTCATCAGTGACTATAAGCTCTGATTCTTCTGTTAACAAAATATCTCAAAATCTTCTGGTATTGTAGTTAGTCTCTTGTTGAGTATTTGAGTTTGGTTTCTAGAAATTTTTGTTCTATTGAATATTCTTTCTGAATCTTAACATATATGGTATTGTGTCTAGTGATGTGACATTCTTTTGACTTCCATTGATGGTTTCTGCCACTCTGAAATTTCCATAATGGATTCTGATTAGTTGTGTTTCTCTGCGCTAGATATTAGGAACTGGATTCGAAATATTGAGCATCATGCCTCCGGCAAAGAAAACACTGCAAAAGAAACTGAGATTAGGGAAAAACTTGCTGATGAGTATGGGATTAAGTTTTTCGAAACTATGAAAATCTCATTTCTTTTTCTCCCTCTCCATATGAGTTAAGCAAGAATACAATGACAAAGTACAATCAAATGGAAAGGTATGACTGGCCTAATAGTACTCTAATATTACCTACATTTGAACTATGAAGTACTTAGTAGAATTTGCATGTTTAAAATACTATGGTTTGTCTCCTAGGTAATAAGGCTTTGGTTAGTAAATAATTGATGGCATGATAAATTGATAATGGTGCTCCTTTTTTTCAGGAAGAACATCGTGCACGAGATCTCTTTTATGCTCTCTCGGTTCCGAGGCTTTTTATGGACTCAGGGCAAGGCAAAGAAAGTTGTACAGGCACAAAATCTCTTGTTTGAAATCTTGAAGTCTCAGATAGAAACTGGTATTCCCTACATGCTATATAAGGTTAGTTTTATACTCTTTATATGCTAAAGACTTGATCTGATTCTTCATTTGCATTTTAGTTTTTAGTTAACCTTGTTAAGCAACCAGCAGAATCTTGGTACTATTAAGTCTTCTAACTTGTTTTAACTGAAAAATGATCAGAGTTTCTTATGTTATTTTTCAGTAATTTGATTATGTATGGTTAATTCCCAAGTGTTTCTAAATGGAACTGATAGATACAAAGCTTATTACTCTAGGGTATCATCTACTCCGCCTAAGCATTTATAATTTATCGCAAAAAAAATTGGAAGTATCTTAACATTCTTATGGTCTTTTCTATCTCTTTTGTTTAAAATAATATAATTGTTTTCTAGCTTCCCGAGCTATTCATTGTGATTTGGTTTCTGTTATTGCATGCTTCTATAGAAACTAATGTTCCAAATTTTGGGTTTTTTTTGTGATAGGGCTTGATGGACTCTCGTGCCAACATTTGTGTGAAGAGAATGGGAGAACTTGATAAGAAGCCATTCATCCGTGCTACAAAGCTAAAATATCAGCTTTAGAGGCTTGGTGTTGCTACTTCTGAGCTTTTGGAAATCTACTGTTTTAGCTTTAAAGATTATTGAGAAGGAATATTAGCTGTTTGTTCATTTTCCCATGTTAACTTTTGGAGGCTTTTATGTGAATTTAGTTTTATAAAATTCACTGCGTATATGTATGGTGGATTTTGAATAGATAATTAATTGTTATTAGTTTTGTAAATTTGTGTGGATTTGGTGATTTTGGAAAATTCTGTATAGGTTTTGAACAAATAAAATTAGGCAATATTCAATTTTTAAATAATATATATATATATATATATATATATATATATATATATATATATATATATATATATATATATATATATATATATATATATATCCGCGACACCCTCTGTGAAGGGCAAATTATGTTGTGAGTACGTGCCCACCTTGCAAGGTGGACACGGTTTCATATTCATAATTTTTATATTGTAGATTCATAATTTCTATACTGTAGATCCATAATTTCTATACTGTAGATTCATAAAAATTATACTTTAGATTCCAATTGTTGAACTCTGTTTTCACAAATCATAAAACTATATGTTCATAATTTGATAACTATACAGTTTAGAAATTATGAATTTATAGTACATAAATTATGAATCTACGGTACAGATATTATGAATCGTATAGAAATTATGAATCTACTGTATAGAAATTATGAATCTATTGTATTTAAATTATGAATCTACGGTTTAGAAATTATGAATCTAAAGTATAAATTTTATGAATCTAAAGTATAGAAATTATGGATATGAAACCGTGTCCACCTTGCAAGGTGGGCACGTGCTCACAGCATAACGTTCCCTCTGTGAAGAGGGTGCCACACAAAGAAATTATTAAAAAAAAATGGTTTTCCGCGAAATCCACCTGTGAGTCGGTATTGTGGAAATAAATTAATAAAAATAAATAAAAGACTTTTCGAGACACTTGCAACGAAGCAGGTGTCTCGGAAAATCTGTAAAAAAAAATTTTAAAAATCTTCGTCCGCTTTTCGCGACACCCTGTACGGGTGTCTCGGAAAGCGAGACACTTTCACAGTCACCGAAATTCGCTACACTTGTTCTGTACAGGTGTAGCGGAAAGTCTTTTATAGGTGTTTTGGAAAGACTTTTTTTTGTACTAGTGTGTATAAGTTGTGATCATTGTTAGCAAATATACTTGAGGCAACTTTTTAATAAAATGTTTAAATTATCAATTGTTGCCAAAACATATTTGTCTTTAATTTTGTCAAATATATAATTGCCAAAGAGGAGATTGTAAGTGTACATATGATACACTATTTTTAGTTTATTTAATTGGCTAATTATTTGTCAAAAAATTAGGTTATATTTTATTAGACTGTATTTCTGTCCGGGTTATATTCTGTGTCACAGTTTTAAGCGTAGGTTATTCACAGTGATCTTCTGGAACAGTGTCAACGCTTGGTTAGTTTGAACTACGATTTTCCCTAAACAAATTCAGTTTATGTGGTCAAGTTTTCAGACAATCATATTACATGGACCATGATCCACACAATTGTGTGGACCATAAATAAAAAGTACATTGTATGTGATTATGTCATGCAAACCTAATGGAATAATTATGGATGGATTCGGGCCGAACCGGACCCGAAGCAACAGACCCGAGCAAGCGACCCACGAGGAGCATGCACCCCCGTGGGGTCGGCCTCTACGGGGTCGGCCGAGCTCCGAGCTCGGCCGAGTGGCATGGTCCACGCACGGAGCGGATCGCGCGGCGAGAGTTGTAGCACCCCCGCGTCTTCCGAGGTTGTTATGGCGACATGAGCTATAAAATCCCTCATTGATGTCCTAATCAAGGCATCTTGTGTTCTTACCTATTACTTGTCTTGTTATTACACGTTCATACATCTGTAATAGCATTATACGTTCAATTAATATAATATTCGTCCCCGTGACGCTAATTCGTACATTATTCGTACCTCTATTATCGTTTTAATCACATATTTCGTTACATTCACTTACTTATTATATTCTATCATATATTCGGGTTGTATAATCCGGACCCCCGGGTTCATATAATCCATCAAAACCCTTGTAATCTTGGTGAACGTGAATTGGACTGACGTGAATTGCCCCGCAGACGTAGGAATTTTGCTTCGAACTGCGTGACCAATTGCTGTGTTTCTGACACTATTATTTTTCTATACTTGTCTTTTATTTTGTTTTATCATTTTATAAAATCAACTAAATTAAAGATAAGTGGTCTATTAATTAAAATTAAATAGAACTTGTAGGAGCGACTTGCTATTCAAGATCCACGATTCAATTTCATTAAGTTTGTTGCCTATGATGATGTTTTACTAATTGTCTAAATTGTTATAAATATATCATTATGTGGATATTATTATAGATTATACAACATTTGTAACGATTTCTGTATTTATGTCTCCATTATTACCTTACGTTACAAATGTATATTATATATATGTTTTGTTGTAATATGAAAAGTGATATGAATAAGATGATCCTCAATTCCTCCTTAATCTCTCTCTTCCAAATATTCTTTTAACACGTTATCAGTACACGCTCTAACCAACTAAGGTATGCGTCGTACGAGTCTTGGGCTGATGGGGACTGGCCCAAGGCTGCTGCTGGCCTGCTGCATTGCTAAGGTTGGAGATTGGGGCTCTTCCAGGTACTTCTATTTTCTGGTCACACTTTAAAGTACTGGTGTGGTGAGCTTATCATCTGCAATTGTTTCTAATCGGCTGGTTCAAAGTGATCTGGCTGGTCATAGAACACATGAAATCATTGTTCCTAATCGGCCTACCTTTGGTAATTTGGCTGGTCATAGGACCTTTGATGGAGCTACTCAAACCACACTATTACCAGTACTTAGTGTTCCTGCTTTATTTAGTGACAGTGCTATTGTTTCTGACTTTCTGGTCTTGATAATGTGAATACCACTGTTAATGAATCACAAAGTGTTAGTGGTCCTAGTGTTAATGCTCTTAATTGGCTAAGTTTTGGTAATGTGCCTTTGATTTCTTCTGTTGTCAATAATCCACTTAGTCGTGGCAATGAGGCAGCGAACGGAATCCAGTTTGATAATTTTTGAACCATGTTAATAAGGATTCTGTGGTTAATTTTGGTCTTGGAAATAATAATGTTTCTAATACTCTAAGTGCTGGTACTTTGATAAGGCTTGTTTTGTTTCTTGTCAAATTGGTCATGGTATTGTGGCTACCATGACCATAATCCAAACCAAAATGATTCTGCTCATTCTACTGTACCAACGCTTAGAAGTTTTGTCCATTGCTATTATTAGTATTGTGCGTGCTACAACTAATACTTTGGTTAGTGTGCAATGCTGTGCTACTGGTTAGAATTTGCCTTTGCACCCTGTTGATGCTTAAATTTCATTGAAAGCATAAGTGAAACATATGATATTGTGATGATGTGCTTTCTTGATGTGATCGTGCCGAAAGGTTTATATATATGTTTTGCAAAGTTGATCATTTGGTAATGTACTGTACAACATGATAATTAACAATGTGGTATTTTATTAGAATGCACCTTTATGATCTCTATTATATTATTGATAGATAATGATATCTGTTGGAAACCGTTGGTAGAAAAAACAAATAATAATCAAATAAAATATGACTATTATTTTTCTGGAAAGAAATAGGGAAGGAAAGATGGAGAAAATTGGCTAGTGTTTGGTGTTGGGTTTTTGCAAGAGTCAAGTGAGCACTCTTTCCTTAAAACCTTATTTGCCACCTCCCAAAGATGCTAGGAGCGTTGTGGCCTAGGCTTCCCAGGATAAAACTTGCTAGTGATTCAATGTTTGAGCACTCAAAGAAGGAATCCGGCGAGCAAGACACGGCTATGAACGCAGTAGGCTAAAGAAGGAGTAGAAGCAGAGAGGTTTTGAGGCTAAAAATTGAACTTTCGTGTTCTATATTTCTGTGTGTTAAAATCTACTGCCCAACTCCTCTTTATATAGGGATGAAGGATTTAATAGCTTTTAATTAGGAACTTAAGGGCACCCCTCCACCTTCCTGTAACAACACCATTAACATGGCCTTCAATTTAAAATTAAAAATTGGAATTAACTCAAAAAATTAATTCCGTAACAGTAGAATTGAACACCCAACGGTCACAAAACTGCACAGGTTCGTCTAGGCCGAAACTTCCAGTTTCGATTGCCAGGAAGTTTCGACCATGGGCCCTTTAATGTCTCGGCCCACCAGGCCGAGACACATCTAGTGGCATATGTTGGAAAATGATTTCGAAGTTTGGCATAACTTAGCCCGCAAGGCCAGCCAATTTCCGTACAACCTTTGTGCCCCCAGGTGCCGACGCGCATGAGCTCGGGCTTGAATCAAAGCTTGGAATTTGATTTGTACATCGAAAGTGGACCCCACTGATAATTGTACCACAAAATAGCCACTTAACATGCCATTTTATGTCATTTTAAGCTATTTTTCCAACAATCCCCCACATGAATGAAAAATTGATTTTCGGGGTATTTTGAAATCGGAAACAACTGTGTTCAAACGGTCGATCCTTGCATAGGATAGGTAGGGAGTCACTATACCCTTTGAACCTTCCCTCGTGAAGACATGTTTACTCTACTGGCTGTACGGTAGAACGCGATGTCTTTGAACCGACTGCCGTTTGTGTAGACGATGACATATCTCACACAGGAATCTCCCAACCATGCTCTTGCTCTCATGAGTGTGCCCGTTTTGGTCGTGGGTCACCGTTCCTGGTTCTGCGAGAGTTTCTAAAGAATTGTGCCCAACAATTCTCCTTTGAAGCGACCCTCACTTCTCTCTAACATAGGTGATTCTTTCTCGAGTATCCCGCATACTCAAGAATCATTAAAGCATTAACATGCTAGCCTCTTGCGGGAGTCACTGTTTTAACGAGGAGTGGTAGGGAGTCCGAGACCCCCACAGTGACGCGCTTCGTTCCATAATTTAGTTGTCCCATTGAACCTAGGTGCCAGCTAGGTTGGGTATCCACTATAGAACTTTTTAGTCCAAGGGCATTAGACCCATTCCTCGTGTCAACTTCTCCACAACTTCTCTTCCTAACCCTTTGGTCAGCGGATCCGCTATATTATCTTTGACTTTACGTAGTCAATTGAGACAACACCAGTTGTGAACAGTTGTCTAATGGTATTATGTCTATGACGCACATG